TTTTTTCATTTTGCTTTTCCGGTTGGGTGTTTTTTGCTTCTTCGTATTTCAAATTGTTGACTTGATTCTTGCGATCCTCTAGTCTGCTGTTGGGATTCTGTATAATATTCTTTATTTCAGTCAGTGTATGCTTAATTTCTAGTTGGTCCTTTATCACAACCTCGAGGGTCTCATTAGATTTCTTGTAGGTCTCATTAAGTTCATCGGCAGTTTCTAGAAAATTCTTGAAAAACCTTAAAAGTGTGGTTTTGAACTTTATATCCAGTAGTTTGCTTTCCTCCATTTCTGTCATTTGTGTCCTTTTTCTTTGTCTCCTCATTTTTCATGCTTCCCTGTGTTGATAAAGTGGTTTTCTGTGCTAAGTGTCCTCTAGGTCCCAGTGGTTCAGCCTCCCCAATTACCTGAGGAGGACACTCTTGGTGCACCCCCTTGTGGTCTTTGTGCACAGTCTTGTTGTAGTTAAGCCTTGATTGTTTAGGTATCACTGGGAGGAATTGACCTCCAGGCCAATTGGCTATGAGAATCAGCTGTGTCTGCAGTGGGAGAACTTCTGTGCTGGAGACACCCCTCCGGGGCAAGACTTGCTTCAATGGGGCTTTGGTGCTCACTGAGTCTGCCCCCTGAGTGTGTCCTTTATGGTTCCACGGAGCTGCAAACTGGATGGTCCCACTCTGACCTCTGGGTGCACTGGCTCCTGGATCTCTAGGGAAGTGATAATCTAGCCTCTGCCTTAGGCTATCCAGCAAAAGCCTCCCTGCAGGGCTTGGGCGGGGCGGGTCTCACGGGATCAACAGGGTGGAGCGAGCAGTTATGGCTGCTCTCAGTCCTACCCTCAGAGGCTCTGCTCCTCAGTGTCCTGGTAATCTCTGCAAGCCCCTCTGAGAGAAAGCTGCCCTCGCCCGATGCCAGACAATCCTGCTTCTCCTGTATGAGTCTGGGTCCCCAGAGACTCGCCCGGAACTGGAGCTCAGAGCCTGAGACTCCCTCCCAATTGAAAATGACAGCCGCACCCTCAGCCGCCAGCCCGCTCTGCATGGGCCTCTGTACCTTAGTATTTCACTTCCGCACTGCGCCTCCTCTGAGTCTCGGTATGCTTTTCTCTTTCTTTCTAGTTGTAGAATTTCCACTCAGCCAGCCTTCCTGTGGTTCTGGATGATGTCCGTTCCATCTTTTAGTTGTATTTTTAAAGTGGTTGTTTGAGGCAGCAAACTCCGGTGTTTACCTATGCCGCCATCTTGGTTTCTCTTTTCAGATTCTCTATATTTTTAGTTGGATGAATCATTATTTTTTGTTGTTGAGTTGTATGTGTGTTTTGTTTTTTTTTTAATTAATTTTGAATATTAACCCTTTATTAAATATATCACTGGGAAATATCTTTCCATGTTCAGTAGACAGTCTTTTCATTTTGTTGAAGGTTTTCTTTGCCATGTAAACACTTCTTAGTTTGATGTAGTCCCATTTGTTTATTTTTTCTTTGGGTTTCCTTGTCCTAGGAACTATATAGAAAATATATTCCTAAGAGAAATGTCCAAGATTTTACTGCCTATGTTTTCTTGTAGTAGTTTTAAGGTTTCAAGTCTTACATTTAAATCTTTAATCCATTTGGAATTTATTCTTGTACATGGTGTAATAAGGTGGACTAGTTTCATTTTTATTGTATGTATCGCTCCAATTTTTCCAACATCAAGCCCACAGTCTGGGGATGTGCCCTGACTGGGAATTGAACCGTGACCTCCTAGTTCATAAGTCGATGCTCAACCACTGAGCCACTTCAACCACTGAACCACGCCAAGGGGTCCTTTTAACATTTTTGTCAGATTCTTAAAACTACCCAAAAGAATATAATCTGCTTCTTAAGGGCTTTGCTAAAAAGCAAGCATTTAAGGGAGATAAGGATCCCCTTTGATAAGCAATGCTGTTTCTCTCATTTGCGCTTTCCTCAGCAGTAGGTGTCTACCCCCCAGGAATTACACAAAGAAACACATTGGAACCTGGGAATTTAGACAGCAGGTAAATTGTACATTGCCGGAAGGCAGCAGTGATGACTGTCTTGGGTTCTGCAACCCAGGCCTCCTTGAATCTGGGCTCAGTGCTTCAGGGGGGTGATAATGACCCTGAAGTCTTCCATCAGCGCTTCAGGCAGTTCCATTACAAAGAAGGAGTCAGGCCTACTGATGTTTTCAACAAACTCCTGGAGCTTTGCTCTGAATGGCTGAAGCCAAAGATGCATTCTAAGGAACAAATGGTGAAGCTTCTAACTTTGGAACAATACCTAACAATTATGCCCCAGGAGCTAGAGACCTGGGTGACAGAACAATGCCCGGAGAGTAGAGAAAGAATTCTGTCACTCTTAGAAGAAATACAGATGAAACCTGAGACAACAGAGACAAAGGTGAGAAAAGAGTTTGGGATCTGGGGAACTAGACCAAAAGGGTATCAGAGGCAGGTGGGATTGGATCTGACATTTGTCTCTGTGTCATTCTTCAGCCCAAAATTTCTGCACAGTCCTTTTCATCTCTCTTCTACTGGAGAAAACATATGGGTCAGTGGTTTCCAACCTCATCTTAGCCAATTCTCCTCTGTAACAAATATTGTCTAATGTCCCAGTAAATATACTTAAATGAAATTCACAGGTAACATAACCTACCTATAGTCATTCATCAAAAAACACTGGTGTTATGCTTTAGGGTCTGCAGACCAGATCCACCCACAGCATGTTTTGTATACCCCTAAGCTAATAATGGATTTGAGCTGTTAAAGCATTGTTCAAAAAAAGAGGAAGAAGGAATGTGGCACACAAAGCCTAAAATATTTACTATACGATCATATTTACTATATGATCTTTGCAAACCAAGTTGGCCAAATCTGAGTCAAGTGGAATCCAGAAGAAATATAAAGGAATAGTAGGTAGTTTATTATAAACTAAAAACTTGCCAAAACTGGTTTGGCTCAGTGGATAGAGCGTCAGCCTGTGGACTGAAAGGTCCCAGGTTCGATTCCGGTCAGGGGCATGTACCTGGGTTGCGGGCACATCCCCAGTAGGAGATGTGCAGGAGGCGGCTGATCGATGTTTCTCTCTCATCGATGTTTCTAACTCTCTATCCCTCTCCTTCTCCCTTCCTCTCTGTAAAAAATCAATAAAATATATTTAAAAAAAATAAAATAAACTAAAAACTTTCCAGTGTGTACATGACTGGGCTTGAGCACATCAGAATATCTGATGAAGTTGTCAGATGCTTGCCTCTCTGCACAGACTCACTGTAAAGGTGACAGGCAGTTATTAAGATGAATACAGCTTAAACACTATGAACAGTGCTGCTGATGATTGTATGATTTTCCAAAGGAGAAAAAAATGAATGAATCTGACTAAATAGTGGTATAGTCTTATTTTAAAAAACTTATTTATTTTTCTTTTTTTTAAAATTGTATTTATTGTGTGATTGGTCAATAGAGTCATATAGGTTTCAAGTATACATTTCTATGATACATGCATGATAAGTATATTGCATTGTGTAGCCATCACCCAAAGTCAAATCTTGTATTCAATATTATTTTGTATTAGTTTCAGATGTACAGCATAATGGTTAGGCAATCATATACTTTACAAAGTGTTTCTCCTGATATTTCCAGTACCCACATAGCACCGTACATAGTTACTACAGTATTATTGACTATATTTCCTTTGCTGTACTTTACATCACCATGACTTTGATTTCCAAAGGAGTGCTTTCCCAGAAAATTCAAGTCATGCTAACATTTGCAAAAATATTTTGTGATTATATGACCAGCAGTGTGAGGTTCTTGACAGATTCTTTTTACCTACATGAATATTTGAAGGTAGGTGGGGCACAGGAGCAATTCTGCACTGTGCATTATCTATACTTGTGTCTCTGCCCACTAATTCTGATAGCCACCACCTGCCATCATTTCCAAAACACGTCCTGGGAACGGTGACCCTGTCCTCTGAACAGAACCACCCAGTAAAACGTTTTTGGGACATATGATAGCTGAGCACAGGGCAGCATTTTGGAGATGGGAGGGAGTACTTCTTGTTGGGCATTAGGGGCAAAGGAGTCTTGGGTATAGATGGGGCTCTGCAGTTAGCCTGTATGAAGGATTCTTCCAAAGTTTCCTGCCTCCAGGCTGGAATGCGTTTATGGTTTCCCTTCCTTTCTGTGTCTCTTTGTTTGGCTTTCTACAAGAGACTATTTTCTTCCTGTGGTCTAATCCTGCATTATCAGTATGGTAGGCAACAGCCAAAGGTGAGTCTTGAGTACTAGAAGTGTGGCGAGTCCAAATTGGGATATGGTATAAGTATAAAATGCACACCCCATTCAGAAGACTTAGGGTGAACAATAAAGTAGGTAAAATACCTCATTAATAATTCTTTATACTGATTACATTATGAAATTACTAGAGGCCCATTGCAGGAAGATTCCTTCAAGAATAGGGCTTCGCTCCCGCCTCTGCTCCCTCCCGCCGCCTCCTGCCACTGCCTCCCGCTGCTGCTGCCCGCCACCGCTGCCCCTCCACCCCGCCATGCTCCCGCTGCCCTCCCTGCCCCAGCCACTATGCCTGGTTCCGCTCCCGCCTCCCGCCTCCACCGCCTTGGCTCCATTCCTGTCTCTGCCACCTCTACTTTGCTCCCTTCTGCAGCGCTTGGCTTCCTTCTACATTGTCTTCAGTCTTCACTCCCAGCTGGTATATGCAAATTAACTGCCATCTTGGTTGGGTTAATTTGCATATAGTTGCTCTGATTGGCTGGTGGGTGTAGCGAAGGTACAGTCAATTAGCATCTTTGTCTTTTATTAGTGTAGATGATATTTTAGATATTCTGGTTTAAATAATGCTTATTATTAAGATTGACTTTATCTATTTACTTTATTTTTCATATGACCACGGGAAAATTTTTAATGATTTGGGTGGCTTGCATTATATTGCTACTGGGCACTGCTGGTCTAGATAGATTTTAGAGTGATGGGTTCTGGAATTTCCTCCAGATTGATAGCCAGGAAAAGCTCTTGGAAGATCCAGCAGTAGTCGGAATAGCAGACATGATACCAAATATCCACCTGGAGGTACCCCCATTCCAAGCAATGGAAACTGTCTCCGAGGCCCCACTGGAAGATGTGTGGATCCCACAGGAGCCATCCTATGGTGCTGCTTGGGAAGACCTGCCCTTTCTGGAAACTCCTGGTAAGGCAAAGATTTTACTTCTTTTCCTTGATTTCTCTTTTGATAGCTCAGGAGCTCTCCAGGGGTGGGGTTGGTTAGAAACACTGAATAATGGATGAAAATGGATAGCTTTTATAAATAGGGGGAGGAAACATCCCTTGGGGAATAGCTGCCCACAATGTCCATTATTAGATTGAACAGGATTCAAAAGCTCTTAAGATAATGAGTCTGCTCAGCAAGGAGTCTTTCACCAAGAATATTATAAAGGAAATTGAGGGGAGTATGTGTGATATGAATAAAGATTAATTTTCCCAGCCAATTTTTATTACTGGAATCTGTGGTCAGAAGGGTGTGAGATGTGTGAAAGGGGGATGGTTAGTGCCCTTAGCTGGCATGGGCTGTGAGCATAGGTTGGGGAATGTAAACTAGTGATAGTGTCGGGAGCTGGGCTTTGAGAGTCCAGACAGTGGAGGTTGAGGGCACCTGGTCCTCAAAGATGTGAGTGTTAGAGAGGAGGGATGTGGGTGGGGTGAGGTTGGCAGACAGTGAAAAAGTGCATGAGGTTAACAACTACCAAGGAGCTCAATTTGGGCCAGCCTCTTTGAAAACTGTCTCCTGGGAGTACTATACTGGGGAGAGGAAGTAAGGTGGCAGCTCTCAGTCCTTTTTGGTTGGGTGCTGCACAGAAAGGGGCAGCAGGACTAATGGTAAGTCCATGAGACACAGCTGCCTGGTGATATAATACTCCTGGCCTTGTTCTCATGGGTGCTAGAGTCTGCCTCCAGGGCTGCTTTAGCCCTTGACTAGTCTCGTCTTTGACTGCCTTTCACCTGAGGGACAGGTGTCTGAGTTGGTTTCATGGTCACCTGTGATGAAATCTATAGCCTCAAGAGTATCAACTCTATGCTCTATGTACAGGATGGGAACCACCATGTGAACACATCCTGCCATCCTGAACTGGTTTTCAAGTCTCTCTTACTGGGTATATTCTGGGCCAACAAGTTTCTGGCACCCTAGGCTCTGCTTCTGTCCACCCCCCACTTTTGAGATCCCTCACACTTTCACTTGACAGCAGCTCTCCTCTGATGCACGACCTCCAGTTTTATTTGACCTGTGCTCCTACCCCCTCATCCCACCATTATCTTTGAGACACAGCATAAACAAAATAAAGAGTTGTATTTTAAATTATCTTTGTTTGAAATATATGGCCTTTTCATTGTGGAAGTAGAAATAAGGTATTTTAGTCGATGTCCTGAAAGTTAAATTTTCCTTCACATTAACATTAGCCAAACTAACGTGCTCATGTCATGTCATAAACCCTAATATTGAAACATTGCCTTGTATTTCAATCTGAAATGAGCCATTTCCAACCCACAGTTTACTGCAGAGCAGTAAACTTGAACAGAGCTGAGGAAGGTGTGTGGAAAGAGGCAGGAGCCACAGCGACTCTCACTGAGGGGGCAGTGGTAAGACCTAGGAGGAGAGTGAATGTAGAAACAACTTCTGGTTGTCCTTAGATTGACAGTGAGAACCACTTTTTGATGATTATTTTTGTTAGTTTCCAGAGAATCAACTTCTAGACTTCTGCTGAAGCAGACATATACAGATTATTATTGCTGTTGCTGACCTACCTCAGTTGCTATCTTAATTTGAATATCTCTTACTAAAATTATTCCAGTAACCATTCCTAACCCCCATACTTTGGCATATCTCTCTCTCTCTCTCTCTCTCTCTCTCTCTCTCTCTCTCTCTCTCTCTCTCATTGCTTGACAGTCAATAAGACAATGTTTGTCAGTTTTAATAGGGTAACACTTTAGGAAGATTGAATTCATGTTCTGGCCCTCACCTACATAATTCCATTCTCAAAACAGATATGGAACTCATTCAGTGCATTGACTTCACACCAGAATTGATTCACTTCCCTTCCGTAGACTGGAGGAAAATATCTTTGAACTGAGCAGAGTAGAAGATCTCGCCCCCAACACACCTACCCCCACCCCGCCATTTGGGTCTTGTTCTTATCCTAAAAAACAAACAAGCACAACACAAAGGGCTTGTCAGAGGCTCCTGGTGAAGCAATGCTGAGAAGGTAGTAGGGTGATCTTGAGAGGCCATGTGTCCAAGAAGAGACCTGGACTCTGGAAAAACCTGTGTTGACTCAAACTATCCTTCCTCCCATCTCTCCTATGGCCAGAATACCCATCACCAAAGCTTGCAGCTGAAGAGCCTTGCGGGCAGGAATTACAGGATTGCAAGGAACTAGAAGAACTGGACTTTTTTGACTTCAACCTAGGTAAGTGAGGGTTCATGGAATGCTCGGGAAGATAGGAGAGAAAATTAATCTTTACTCCCAGGGTAACAAGGTTTGGGATGGCACTTGGAAGAAGTTTGTATCTTCCCAGTAGCGTTGAGTATAACTCTTCTGTCACTAGCTCTCCATTCCTCTTGGAACATGGTGGCATCTGTAATTTCTGTTCAGTCTTCATTTTGATATTGGGAGAGAAAATGTGTCAAAGCGGAAAAAACTGGAGAGTATGTACCTATTTTCTGTTTCTTTAGATGGAAATGTACTTCTTGATACCAATTTTCCAGATGACTTCGAAGAGCTAAGCTACCTAATGGGAAATCCCGCAGAGCAGCTACTCAGAGAGCACACACTGCCACTCTATGATCAGAATCCTTCTGCAGGAGAAAGCGCTGAGAGCTTCAACCAGGAAGAACCTCTCAACCCCATGGGCTATGCACAAAACAGTGCCCCAAAGAAGCTACACCAATGTATTCAGTGTGGGAAAGATTTTCTTTCCATAAAGGTCTTTAAGGGGCACCTGAAAATTCATTCAGGAAAGCTCCCTCATGGGTGCCCTGAGTGTGGGAAAAGATTCCTTCGTAGGTCAAACCTGCAAAGGCATCTTCGAGTTCACACAAGGGAGGCACCCTATAAATGCAGCGTGTGTGAGAAGCGATTCACTCAGTTGTCACACCTCACAGAACACCAGAAAACCTCTTCTAGTCAAGGAGTGTCCACTTGCCCCGAGTGTAAGTCGCGATTTTGTAATAGAAAACAATTTATGCAACACCTAAAAATCCACACAGGTGGAAGACCCCACAAATGCCAGAGTTGTGAAAAAACATTTAGACGCCAAACAGACCTTAATTTGCACTATGCGTCACACACTGCAGAGAGACCATTTACATGTGAGTATTGTGGGAAAAGCTATAGGCAGAGATCCAGCCTTATTTTTCATTCAAAAAAACATTCAGGGGAGAAGCCATAGAAGTGCACCAATTGTTCTACAAGCGTCCTTAAGAAAGCCCACTTTAATATGCACTTTAGAGAAGAACTCTTTGAAAATTTGTTGAGGGAAAAAGTTCCTAAAAAAAGTGACAATAAGCTACCAAAGCTTTAACTTGCACTAGGCTGACTTGGAAGAACAGTTTTGTTTGAGCTTATGCATTACAACAGCTTTGTATTTTGCTGTGTTTAAAACTTACCTTCCAAGGCACATAAATTCTAGAGTATTCACTCATTCATGCCACTGTTCTAGACATGATTTATTTTTCTGTCTAGGCAAGTCTTTCTTAATCTTTATGATGAAATGTCTTTGTGACAAGCCAACCACAATATCGGTATGAGTAGGGAACATATAAATGCTGGCATTCCTTTTCGATCTAGGGTCAGTATTCCAATAGATGGGTATGTGCCCAATTGACCTGTATCTGTGCAATAGTTTAGTCACGTGGAAATGGCTATGCTGTTTCTTTATGATTGCCACTGACTAGTACTTGGAGCACCATGCGGATGCTTCCCTGACAGTGCCAACAAGCACTTCCCTTGACTCCCACTTACACCACATGTCAGAATCTCCTGTGCACCCACTGCTATGTTTATGCATCATTTGAGCCTTGAACACAGTCCATTTCTGAAATATGGAGCACTTTCAAAGGATAGGGGAAGGAAAGATGTCCAACTCATACAGTACTGGGAAGGGCAGAGAACCGTACCCACCACACAAGTACTAGGAATATTGAGCGGCTTATAGAAGGGTGGAGACCCTACCTGGAACGAACTACCTGTAAATTCTGTGTTTTCTTTCTTTGCTCTTTGGAATGATGAGAGCATTGAATGCTACAAACTTTAAGCCTAGCTAGGATCACATGCCACAAAACTTGTTTAATGTTCTGTTTGTGATTTTACAATTATTTGTTATTATAGTTTTCATTTTATTTCCTTTCTGTCCCAAGAGTTAAATGTTGTTAATTTCCTGTGAATTTTTGGTTACAATGCAAGTTATTAATAAACGTGGTTCATTCTACTTCTGTTTTAAAGTTTATTAGGTTTTCTTGAAGATGCGTGTCTTATGACTGCAGAGATTAAGGGCTCCATTTGTAGGGTACTTCCTAGGAGAGGAATGGTTGTGCCATCGGTTTATAGCTATTCACCTTCTCTAAATACTGCCAAAATGTACGACACATATCCCTTCCCACTCCTTGGCTTCTGGTTTCACTCACCTACTGGTGTCCCTTGATGAAGACACTAGCCCAAGTGTTACATAGTTCAACTTAATGTTTTGCCCCTTTATTATTAGTGCTGTTTGAATTCTGGTGAAGAAACCTTTTGTCTACCCCAAGATCATGAACCTACTTCTACATTTTCATTTTGAAGTTGTATTTGTTTACCTTACACATTGAGATTGCATTTTACCTGGAGTTGGTTTCTTTTACAAATGTTGTGAGGTAAGGTTCAAGATAACTTCAGAATGGAAGGTCCTTACCACTTGAGATTTTGTCCTCGGCCTTTGGGCCTTAGCAAAAATTGAGATGCTAAGAGAATGCTTTTACCAGCCTGTACATGGATTTGAGCAAGTGTGTTATGAACAGCATTCCAGGTGAAGGGATGTCTCATACAAAGACCTGACGAGAAGAGCACAGAGTGGCTGGAGGGAAAGCTAGAGTGTTAGGCAGAGGCCAGGTAATGGAGGGTCTAGTAATCTACCTGATGCGTTTGGAACCTCATCAGGCAGTCCAGAAAAAATCATGGACTCCAGTTGAGAAGCACTGGTGACATGCGCATTTTAGAAAGCTCACTCTGGCTCCTGGATGGGGAGTAGGAGAGACAAGATAGGAGACAGAAAGACTAGTGAGGAGGCTACTGCAGATGAGAAAGTGGGCTGAGCTGAGGGCAGTGGTGTGCAGATGAAACAGAAGGTAAGAATTCCGGAGGAATTAAGAGGCTGAATCCACAGTCTCTGATGATTGATGGTATATGGGGTGGGGAGGTGCGTGACAGCCAGCTCTGTGTCCTGAATATCTGGAGTTGGGAGACTGGAGGAACAGCTCAGGAAAAGGGAATGAGGGCCCTCTTAGCCTATAAGCCCAAGGGCACCCATTTAAACTCATAGACGCTTCAATCCTGTCACCCTGTTTGCTATCTTGGAAACTGTCTCCTGCCCACCATGTTTCATTCCTTTAACAGTCTTTGGGTGCCCATTATGTTCTAGATAACATCATAGGTACTGAGGATGGCAGGGTATCAGGCTTCAGGAAAGTCACAGGTTAGGAAGACAAGACTAAAAGTTAAGCAGAAAATTCTTCATCAAGGTAGTAAGTCCAGTGATAAACTAATATGTATAAGTTAATATTGGAAGAAGGTACAAATGTCCAGTTGTAAGATAGCTAAGTACTAGGGAGATAATGTACTACATGATGGCCATAGTTAACACTGCTGTGTGATGTATAGGAAAGTTGTTGAAAGAGTATATCCTCAGAGTTGTCATCACAAGAAAAACCTTTTTCTTTTCCTTATCTTCTTTCTTTTTATTGTATCTAATAGTGACCTGGTGCATGAAATTCGTGTACATTAAAAGGGAATTAGTTAGAGGAAATATTTTAAAATTGCTATTTGCCTTTTCTCTATAATAGAAGTGTCAGAGATGAAAGAAAATTAATAACATGTACATGAAAATCTTCCTCCTGTCAGAGTCTGGGGTGCACCCTGGGAACCATAGTCAAGTCCCCGCCACCCACATACACCTCAAAATCGCATGAGACCCAGACCTGGCTGGCCCCACTCCCAATGGGCTAGATCCAGACCCGGCCGGCCCCACCCCCATCAAGCCCGCAGGAGCATGGCTGCCAGTTGCCTGGCCCAGCACCAGGGTGGGGGGCACGCCTTGAGGTCCCCTCACCTGGGCTGGGGGCATGGCCTGAGGTTCCCCATCAATCCCCATCAGGAGGGGGCCCAGCATCAGTACCCCGGCCTGGCACTGGGGTTGGGGGCATGGCCTAAAGTCCGCAGCCCAGGCTGGGCGGGGGGCATGCCTTGACGTCCCCCTTCAAGCCCTGTGGGCAGTGGGCTCAGCCTAAGGTACTCCAGCCTGGCACCGTGGTGGGGGGTGCACCCTGAGATCTCCCATCAAGCCCCGCTGGGTGGAGGGCATGGCCTGAGGTCCCCTGTCAAGCCCCGCTGGACAAGGGGTGATGTGGCCTCAGGTCCCACGACTGGGTGCCAGGGTGTGGGGCTTGGTCTCAGGTCCCCTGGTCCAGTGCCAGGACAGGGGGCATGGCCTGAGGGTCCTTTCCTGGTGCTGGGGCAGGGGTTGTGGCCTGAGGTCCCCCGTCAAGCTCTGTTGGGTGGAGGACACGGCCTGAGGTCCCCCATCAAGTCCTGCTGGGCTGGGGGGCATGGCCTGAGGTCTCCTGTCAAGCTCTGCTGGGCAGGGGATGTGGCCTGAGGTCCTCCGCCAAGTCCTGCTGGGCTGGGGGGCATAGCCTGAGGTCCCCCGGCCTGGCGCCAGGGAGGGGGATGTGGCCTGAGGTCCCCTATCAAGGCCCACCGGGAGGGAGGCACAGCCTCAGGGCCCCTGCCCTGGCCCAGCGCCACACAGCCTCAGGTCTCTGTTGATTGCTCGTTAGGCTTGTTACGGGAACTTGGCCTCCACTGTGGGCGCAACTACCTTGTGTAACGGAATCCCTGCCTTTGCTGTGGGTGCAGCCATCTTGTTATGGTGTGATGGTCAATTTGCATATTCCATCTTTATTAGCTAGGATATGAGAGAATGGATGTTAGCTGAACCTATTCTGATAATCATTTCACAAAATATGTAAATTATCATGCTGTACACCTTAAACTTAGTGACGTATGTCAATTATTTCTCAATAAAACTGGAAAATAGAAATCAAGAGAAACTTAAAATGTTTTAAATTACCCATTGCCCTGTGATACAGGAATCCCCCCTCTAACTAGTTATCCAGAAGAATTGAAATCAGCATCTCCTCCAGATATTAGCACCACAATGTTCATAGCAGCATGATTCGCAAGAAGCGAGATGTGGAAACCACCAGTTGAGAAGTACTGGTGAGATGTGCATTTTAGAAAGCTCAACGATGAATGAATAAAGAAAACGCAGGGTGTTCTTTCAATGGGATATTATTCAGCCTTAAAAGACAAGGAAATTCAGCAAATGCAGCAGCATGAATGAACCTTGAAGGCATAATGCTAAGTGAAATATGTCAGTCACAGAAGGACAAATACTGCATCTTTCCACTTATATGAGGAATCAAAAATAGTCACACTGTTTAGAATCAGGGTAGAATGGTGGTTACTAAGGGAAGGGGAAATGGGAACTTGCTACTCTGTGGGATTAAAGTTTCAATTATACAAGTACAATAAGTTCTGGAGATCTGCTCTACACACTGGGCCCTATCTGAACAATACTGCATGCTGCACTTAAAATTTTTAGGAGGGTAGCCCTAGCCAGTTTGGCTCAGTGGATAGAGTGTTGGCCTACGAATTGAAGGGTCCCAGGATCGATTCTGGTCAAGGGCACATGCCTGGGTTGTGGGCTTGATCCCCAGTAGGGGGCATGCAAGAGGCAGCCAATCAATGATTCTCTCTCACCATTGATATTTCTATCAGTCTCTCCCTCTCCCTTCCTCTCTGAAATCAATAGAAATATATTTATAAAATTTTTAGGAGGGTAGATCATGTTCAGTGTTCCAACCATAATATCATAACTTTTTGTTAATCTTCACCTGAGATTATTATTTCCATTGATTTTAGGGAGAGTGAAATAGAGAGAGAGGGACATTTGTATGAGAGAGAAACATTGATTGGTTGCCTCTGCACGTGTCCATACTGGTGTGGGGGATCAAACCTGCAACACAGGCCTATCCCCTTGACCTGGAATCGAACCTTCTGTGAGCAACAGCAGCCAGGGCAATCATACCTTTTAAAAAATAGAAAAGATAAACTCCCTTTGCGTTTTTTTTTTTTTTTTTTTTTTTTTTTTTTTTTTTTTGTCTGCAAAGCTCCTGATTTCCCCTTCAATTTTGACTGATAGTCTTACTGGACAGAGTATTCTTGGATTCAGTCCTTTGCTTTGCATCACTTTGTATACCTCCAGCACAACCAACAGACACAAGAGACTGGGGGCGGGGGGACGAGAGCAAGTGCTTGGGCGTAGGGGAGGCCGGGGGGAGGTCAGTGGGAAAAAACAAAAGAGATATATGTACTACTATTTGTAATACCGTAAACAATAAATTTTTTTTTTTAATATATTTTTTATTGATTTTTTACAGAGAGGAAGGGAGAGAGATAGAGAGCTAGAAACATCGATGAGAGAGAAACATCGATCAGCTGCCTCCTGCACATCTCCCACCGGGGATGTGCCCGCAACCCAGGCACATGCCCCTGACCGGAATCGAACCTGGGACCCTTCAGTCCGCAGGCTGACGCTCCATCCACTGAGCCAAACCGGTTTCGGCAACAATAAATTTTTTTAAAAAAATAAATAAATAGAAAAGAAAATTACCAAGACTCACATTTACTGAAATAAAATGACATCAAACACACAATCATACTATAAAATAACATGTCAAACTGTGTTTAAGGAGGGTGGTCGATTGGTTTTTTAAATTTTTTCATTCTTAATGTGTAATTTTTAAGAATGTCATTCTTCATGGGTAATCAGAACTTCAATTAACCTTAAGGCACCCAAGAAAGGTTGCTGTTATTCTGAACACAAGCTACAGTAAAAAGTGTCTTGTCAGATCACTGAGGAGAAAGCAGTCTGCTATATGCCAGACGCTATGTCAGGTGGGTGAAAGAGATGTTACATAGATGCGTGAGAGGTATTCCCTTCCCTCTGGCTGGCTGCAGGGGACATGAAGGGCTGTGGCAAGACTTGATGGGTGGGAACAGGTTTTATCCTTCTGGAGCCTCGAGACATGGAGTCTAAGGCCCATCCTGACATCAAGATCGCCACACTGCTATAACAACTGGCACGGAAGTCTGTCT